ACGAATAGTTAGGCAAAGAAAAAGAACCCCCCTCCATGAAGCTGTAACAACTACAGTGATGTGATCTCAGGAAACCTAATCCTGACTCAGGGGGATGCAAAGTGGAGGATAAGTTACTATTTCTTGGGGAAGCTAATAGGGGTGAGGGCTTGTAGTTCTGATAGCTTGCTCAAACAGTGAGGGCTTCACTATGTCTCTCAGGACAGTGTCATGAGACTGTTTTGGACCATCTGAACATTCTGACTTCTTTGTAGAAGTGAAGGGAAGATAAAGGGAATTGGCTTGATGACTTGAACATGAAGTGCAATTTGATTGAGGATATTTGAGTCTCATTTGAGGATCAGATGTAGGGGCAGAACTTTGGAGTACTTAGCTGTATGTGGGGGTGTGCTTTGGGGGTGTACTAGGGTCAGACATAGTTTGATGGTTGTAGACACGGTTTGGAGGGTCATAGTTGTAGTTTGTAGGGTATGCACAACACTTCAAACAAAGTTTGAAGTCAGACTGAGCTCTACTGAGTGGAGGATGTGATTCTGCATGAGTCTTGCTACCAGGGGTCAAGTACTGCGTTACAATCATGCAAAACTACTCTTAAATATCCCTCATCATGCCCAAACTGCCTGAGTCACTGCCTCTACTGCTCTGACCATGCCTAACAATCCCAATACCCTGTCACAGTTTTCCAAATAATACTCCAGAATAGTTGCACACCTATCTTATCTTATCAGATATGGATTAGATATAGATTAGATGCAAGCCAGAGTATCTACAGAATAGTATAGAACCCACTAGAAGGTTCTAGGACAAGGTCGTCAATCAGGTGACAGCTTACTAAGCAGTTCTACCAGTGTCACTTAGTGATCAAGACCCACATGTCACCTGATATTTCAGTTAGACTCTGGCTTGGGGATTTATCATCACCACCAGTTAGTAAGATGGTCAGCAGGGACTGTTAGATTGTCATAGTTTTCTGAATAATATTCCAGAATAGGCACACGTCTATCTTATCTTATCAGATAGCAATTCAATATAGATTAGATACATGCCGGAGTATCTATGGAATAGTAGAGAACCAGCTAGAAGGTTCCAGGACAAGGTTGTCAACCCGGTGACAGTTCACTAAGCAGTTCTACTCAGTGTCGCTTAGTGGTCAAGACCCACACATTACCTGATATTTTAGTCAGACTCTAGCTTGGGGATTCGTTATCACCACCGGTTAGTAAGATGATCAGCAGGTGTTAGTAGGTAGCCAATAGGGTAGCTA